GTTTGCAACAGAACACTTCCAAATGATAAATAAACCATAGCAGTACCTTGGTAATTATTGAACAATAAATCCCATAATAAGTTTCAGAGCTCCGTTGTGAACCCATTAAGGTAATAACGATATCCATGTGATATTTACTTTGAGTCAAAGAATTTCACTTATGAGCGTCTGTTCAAGCTTTGATGCTCCAATATAATGGAAGGCGAGGATGTGGGTTTTTTAAAATGAGAGTCCAGATGGCTTAGTAATCGATGTAACAATGGAGCTGGATCTTGGTAAAACAAACCCACAAATAGGAGCCAGTTGCTTTGCCTTTTGTGCTCAGATGCAGGGATTTGGAGTTTTTTCCGGAAAGAAGGTCTTTACAAGACCTTTAAGGTTTTGATGGGGTCTCTGAGAAAAGCTTCCTGCTGACTCAATGTTACATACCGCTATTACGGATGTCTGTGTTTTTTTTGACTTCCTCCACCTTCACAGGCCTGTGGGACGTTAAGACAATCCCGCTTTTACCCAACAGACTGAAAGACGTTGGGTTTATGGGTGAGCTGTGCTTCTGATTTGGTTTAAATGTCTCTCAGGACCATTACTTTGCTTTTTGGTTATATAAAAAAGACAGACCCAATCAGTATTCTGCTGTATTTTAAACAAAACAGAAAGAGACCGAAATAAAATGAAATAATCTGACTATTTAAAAGGATCTGAGGGGTAGTGTGTTCTCCACAGGCATATCTTATTTCCTGTATAAATGTGTTAAAATATTCTGACAAATTAATCACTGGGTAGCATGCTCACAATTTTTGAAATTCAAGCAGCTCTCTCATTTTGAAGCCTTGCATGATTTTATTGAAATATTGGAGGAAATACACATAGAAGCTATTTATTATGTAGGTTGAAATGCTTTTACTGATTGGGTGGATTCACACCACAGAGTGGGTTTGATAGATTACAGTCACATTCCTTGTAAAACTTGTGGTATTAAACTTTATACCTTATAATGCTCTGGATCATGGCCAAACAAAGAAAAAAAAAAAAGCTTGGTTGACCATGCTCTTCTGAATGAATAGCTTTTAAATAAGACTGTTATAAAGTTTATAAGACAGCAATTAAATGTTTTATGTGAATCTTTCAAATGTACAAAAATGAAGGAATGACAGTGGTTTGTAAAAATTTCCCTTCCCCTCTTCTTTAGGTGTTTCAGAACATAAAAAAAAATGAAACGACCATGAAGACACAAGAAAATGCAGACTTTGGTTGAAGTTTTTCTTATTGAGCGGGAAAGAAATCCAAACCTACATGGCCTTCAGTGGTTGATTCCTAAAATTAATTACTGGTAGTGACTCTCTTAGCAGCAATCACTGCGATCAGGTGTTTACAATAACTTGCAATGAGTCTTCTATAGTGCTATAGATGAATTCCCTGTATTTTCAACCATATTGGAGGGTTTTTAAGCATGAAAATCTTTTTTAATGTCCTACTGTACCAGAGCACCCCATTAGGATTCAGGTCAGGACTTTGACTAAGATCCTAAAGTTTAAAGGTAGACAGAAATGAGGGGATGAAATAACTAATATAACTGTCCCGAGGTTTGGCAAGGAGATACCTTTATCTTGTAAGAAAAACTGAAATATCATGGTGAAAAGGAAACATTTGTCTTTTTCACGCTATGGTGATAATACTAATGTTTTATCTTCTATGTCTGTGAGTTCAGTTTGTTGATAGTGTTTCAGCAGCTTTTGTCACATTTGTTTTACAGACTCAGCCTTATGTTCTGAAATCATTCTGATCTATCACTAATGCACAGCCACTAACACCAGTTTTCAGTGTGTTATTTGATTGCACTGATGTATACACAGAATATCACTGCTGTTGCTGATTCTGAGGATATTTCAGCAATTTCATTTTATTTCAGTGATCTGCAGTCTGTTCCTAAAATAGATTGCAATAGTTGCTTGCTTTATGAGCCATTGATAAAAAGTCAAACATAAATATGACTGGATCTGGATCAACAAAGAACCAGAGTACACATAGTATCTCTTATGAAATTAGTGTAGTTACTGTCATTTTTGTGCTTCTATGTGAAATCGGTAGTTCTGCATCATATCTAAAGAGCTAAATGTTGTATTTTATTGGTGAATATGGTCATTAATTTGTTTCTTTGTGGAGATTTTGGTTATACAAAAGTATTTGTTAGCTGACTTTGTGTGTACTCCCATCAGTGGCAGCATAATTTAAAAAGTGTTGAGATAATAAAATATATCTCTGTTTCCAAACTCTGTATCTCTGTATGAGAACACTTCAGTAGATACATGCTGCATTTTCAGGTCAGTCATTTCTTGATGCTGTTGTAAATGAACTATAATCAGTATCACAATTTTATCAAAAGCTTGGCTTAACTATGACTTCCACTTCCAATGTTTTTCTTGTTAATTAACTAAAACACATAACACGGACCCTGTGGCTAATTAGATAAAAAAAATAAAAATAATAAAATTTGATATTGGTAAATAAACCTCAAATACACGAATCAATGTTTGGTGAAAAAAACCTTGAGAGAACACCATAAGTGCTGGCACCAATCTTGTGCTTGATTTGCACGAATAAATGAGAAATCCCAACGTCCAAGTTAGAAACATAAACTGGAAAGGCAACTAATGCTGGACTGAAGTCCTTAAGGCAACCTCAAGCTATAGCGCAACTTAAATAATACTTGTTTGACACATTTAAAGTATCTGTCATAAACTGTTGGCTTGTTTAAAAAAAAAAAAAAAAAAAAAAGACATATTATGCATATGCTATTAGTGCCAGTATTGCTTATCTAAGATATTTGGCGTTTGATAAAGAATCCCTTTATTTTCGTACACTAATGAAATTGTTGCCAACACCTTTGTATATTAATGTAAAAAAAAAGCCTGTTACTAATGTTTAGAGAAGTCAAGAAAGTTAGAGACGTAATACTGCAAAGCGGTATCGCTGCTCCAGAATTTAAACAAATGTTTTATCCCATGCTGCACTATGCAGACACTCTATCTGCACTAATCCAGATTTTCTCATCTCAAAATACTGAAAGCTTGTAGTGCTTCCAACAGTAGGAGCATGGAGCAACTTCCCTCTCCAGATGTCATTGTGGTCTTTGAATTAATAACCCAGATGAAAAAAGCAACCATAAATATAATACAGATGTTTTTGTGCATCATGTGGAGCCCAGTAGAAATATGGATACATAACCATGTTTTCATCTAATTCTCAAACAATTTTTGAGTGTTATTTTAAATGTAAAAAAAAAAAGAGAAGATTTAGATGTGTGCAAATTAACCAGCGTAATGTAGTCACTCCTTGATGTTATGCAGGGCTAATGTGTTGCAATAGAGCAAGTTGTAGTTATTTTACAATGTCAGCTAGTATTAGCGATACTACAGGCCGTCTGGAGATGTTGAGAGGTGCTAGCATTTAGGACACTGGCAGCAGAATCAGCTGAACATCTCGAAAAAGCCAAAAACCACCACAAGTGATTATATAACTGTTTTTGCTAAATTTTGTGAAGTTAAAGTAATTCATGTTTGACCAAATCAAGGCTGATTTATACTCAGAAACCAGATTGTCTGCGTGTGTGTCGCAATGAATGCAAAGGTGTCCCCGCCCCTGCCGCAGACACTCTGCTGCACCTTTCCAAAATTGTAGTGGACCCCGATTCCTCGTTGCCTCTGCCGTATCTAGACCCACAGCTAGTTCGTGATTGTCATGCCTCTTGCCTTGTGGCGTGGAATAAATATAGTGCAGACCACTCTTCAATATTGGGCATAAATCAAAAATATCTGCGACAAGCTCACTGCGACACACATCTGGGGGAGTATAACCAGCCCTTTACACCTTTTTGAGCTTCAGTGCTCCTTCGCATGGATCTATGCAGACAAATCCGTGTAGAGAAACATGGCAAGTGATGACAGTTCACAAATGTAAACATCTAGAGACCTCTTGAGATTGAGCCTATAAGTATTGCCACTATCAACAGATTATAGAAAGAAATCGCTGTTGTTCTTGGATCATATGAAGAGATTGAAAAAGTTGTAAACAGCTGTGTTTTCTACTTCCTTTTCTAGTTTGGTGATGTCAGTTTATAGTTTGTGCTGAACACGTGTGGATTGTATGTACGTCAAGCATAAGCATTTATCAATGTTTTTTATTCACATTTTGAAGTATTGCATTAAAAGTGCTTGATTAAAACAGCTATATTTGAATTAACACTCTAGGGGTGGTCCCCTTCTCATGCTGCCCTGGGTAATTGCCCATATGGCATTTTTATTTGATTTGTTTATTTATTTTTATAATAAGTAACCCTAATGACTAAATATATGCCTCTTTTTTTTTATATAGATATAGCTGATTAATTCCGATTTCCCATTAAGGAACATGTTTAGGTGTAATGAACTTTCTGAGAGATGAGGTTAAAGTAATGCAGAGCAGGGAAATACAATTTAGGACATCCATTATGTTTGTTTTGCATTTCAATTTTTAGTGATTAGGCTTTTCATTTATGTGACATTTGCGATTATTGTAAGTCAACTTCATTTAGATAATCAAAAAATGTCATATCTTCAGTTCACTTCGAATAGACTTGCCTTTGCTGCAGTGTCTCATCTTCAACATGCACAAGGCGACAGTGGACATCCACCTCTGGCTTCCTGAAAGACCTCTTTGTCTGCTGATAACTGTGGAATGTCCACCGGTTTCATTCCATCCTCAGCCCTCAACTCCTGAATATTCATCTGCACCCCTCAGTTTAGCAGGACAATAAACAAGGCGCAGAGGAGCTGAATGCCTGTCTGAAGGAGGAGGGCAGAGAAGGGGGGTAAATCCCAGGAAATCTGGGGGGGGGGCAAACAACCCGTTCCCATAGCTACAAGTCCTGCCTCTGCTTTCTGAGTGAGCAGAGTGAGGAGGCTGGAAGGGTTTTTTCTTCCCTTTCCTCCTTTTTTTTTTTTTTTTTTTGCGTTTATCGGTTTATGTTGGAAACACATGAGACAGAGTTTACTGGGGAGGGCAGGTATCCGGAGCAGCCAGCCAAAAGTTTCAAGTAGACGAACGGGATTTAAGCGTCGGGACGGGATTATAATCTGAAAATGTCTCCAGCAATCATGGATGTAAGGAAAAACAAGGAGGTAAAAGAAACGACACGTCTTTGAACCGTAACGGACGAGCTGCGGCAGGAAGTTTAACACAGCGGACTGAAAAAACAAAACCGTTATAATTATTTTAGAAACGTGGGAAAGGTGCTTTTTTTAAAGAGCTTGGTATGGGCTGTTAAAGTTGTTCCCATGTGACCATATTTGGTCATCGAGTTGTTGAAGTAAAACTATGTGAGCAGAAAGCTTTCTACATCCAGCTGACCCTTTGAATGAAGGAAAAAAGATACAAGCGGCTGTAATTAGACTGAGTTATTATCGCATAAACACCCGAAACGTCAAAGCGACAGATAAAGTAAAAAAAAAAAAGCGGAGCTGGACTCTTCTGACCCTTTTCATGAAAAAAGTCTAAACAGAAAAATAACAGTTTTCCATCTTTGCTCTGCGTAAAGCTTAATTTTATTAGATTTAAATGTGCCATTGCTATTCATTTAAGGTAGTTTAGTGTTTGCATGGCTGCTGGGAGATGAAAACTAAGAAAAATAAACTTCAACTATTTATTTCTCAAAAGTAACATGTTGAATATGACTTTTATAATATTATTAAAATATAAACATGTAAAATTTAGCTTTAGTTTCCAAGTAACGCCTTTTAAAATCCAAAATCAAAGCAGCAGTAAAAAGACGTCCTTTAGATGACACCAATTTAGCTTTTCTTGTAATTAAGGGGGAAAAAAAACACTCTGCAGGTCTGCTGGCCAGCAGTGTGCAGCAAAAGTTAAAATAAGGGTTTACAAATTTGGTTTACCTTGTTACTGGTAACACTGGTTTAATTCAGAATGTAGTTTTACCTTGAAGTTGGTTTTGGTTTTGTCCAAGATTTATTTTGAGTCATTTGTCTTATTTCGATTCTTGTGTTCTAGGTATTTTGATTTTTGATTGTATTTTATCCATTTTCCACTTTCTGAAACGCTTAATCCCAAGCGGGGTCGCGAGGGGTGCTGGTGCCTATCTCCAGCTGTCCACGGGCGGGAAGCCGGGTACACCCTGGACAGGTCGCCAGTCCATCGCAGGGCAACACAGAGACAAATATGCATTCACACACACACTCACACCTAAGGAGAATTTAGAGAAGCCAATTAACCTAACAATCATGTTTTTGGACTGTGGTACTGAGATATTTCTTGTGTGCCCTTTTGTGTCAGTCTCCTTTTCTCTAGCTCCCTTCTTGCCTCTGTTCACACCTGCTCCCAATCTGCTAATTAGCCTGCTCTTTGTTTCTCTCCTGTATAATCGCCTCCTGTTCAGTCACTCTTTGCTAGTTTTTTATCATTACTTTGTCCCCTTCTTGTTGTGAGTGTTCTTGGTTTACAGCATTTTTTGGATTTTTGTGGATTTATATTTTCGGATTTTTGCTTCTGTTACCCTTTTTATTATTAAACATTCAAGTAACCAGTTCAAGCTTTTGTCTCAATTTGGGTCCTGTCAAACCACCTCCTCTGTGACAGAAATCTGTTTGTTTATATATCGCCAATTTAAAATAATTTTGGATTTGAGACTCAACAGCACAACCAGATCCATTTAGTTACTAGAAAAACAAGTTGAAATACTTAGTATTACATAGACCACATTTGTATATTTCCCTAATTCTGTACAGGCTAAGGTGGCGTTCTGTTAAAAAATACGTTTATTCTTGGGCTAGACAATTAATTGCTTTTGTAATATAATCATAATTTAGAAAAAAGCATTTTTCAGGTGCTCAGTTCTAATCACATTACATTTAACAGGAGTAAGACATTAAACTTCTCAATCCAGCTCTTTAGGTGCTGGTAATACAATTACAGTGGGTTTGTCACCACACAGAAGGGAAAAGAGAGTTGCAGCTTGCCTGTAGAGCCATGCATGGTAGAAGTAAGAACTTCAGTATAAAGTCCTGCAACAATGGAATGTGGAAAAGCAAGCTTTCAAGGTCATGAAAAAACAAAACATTGGAGTAAATCATCTACAAACTACTAATGTTTGAATCAGGGTATGGATACATTTTTGAGTCAAACGGTAAATGTGACTCTGATAGAGAAGCACCTTCAGTGGTCATTATGAAATCAGTGATCTGTCTGTCTCATTTTGGTCTCTTTATCATCACTGTGGCTGATTAAATCAGGATGTTGACCAGGCTGCTACAAAACCAGAATGTTTCCTCTAGTCAGAAGAAATATGTATACGCAATATAAATACGCAATCCAAAGGATATATAAGATACTTAAAAGTGTCTGAATACTTTTAAGTACAGTTGCACTGATTTGTCATAGTAAATCAGCATTTGCAGAGTAAAGTAGATTGGCTAATATTTTTTATAATAAATCTTTGCATCTGTCCTGAAGAGCCATTGGCTGGTTATTGGTTTGCCAAGGTTTTAATAAGTTACTGTTTTAAAACCCCTGAATTTTTCCACCCTAATTCTTTCCGCATTGTAAACTTGACTTTATGAAGGCCAGAGGAAGTCTCAGAGTAATCCAAGCTTTCTCAGATTGATGCCCATTGTTGGTCACCTGGATTAAAGTTAATACCTTCAGTTTTCCCTCTGTTACCTGGTAGAGAAATCTGTTCTGGGATGAAAAATACAGTGTTGGACAGATTTTAATCTGGGAACATGAGTACCTGATGTAATCTATTAGATCATGTTAGACAGTTCAATTTAAAACTTTCCTCTAAATATTTGTGTTACCATGGTATCTTACTGAAGATTATGGGCCCATGTCTGCATGTGACTCATCATAAAAGTTCTAGCTGTTGATTTATTTTCCAACATATCTAAATATATGCTGTGTTATAGTGTGTTGACATTTAAAGGAAGATGGTGTTTTTTTTTCTTCTGAGAATCTTGTGTCCGTCTGAGCATCCTGTCTCTTGAGCTTGAGTTTTCCTAGCAGATAACAGCCGTAACCCATATGATCTTATCTTCTAATGCAAACCGTATGGCTCAGACTGCTTTTCCTCCTCCTGAAACCCCCTCTCCATTGTGCAGGTCAAACAATGACCTTTCCCTGTCGCAGGACTGTCAACACAGAACCACTGAGAAACTTCTTTTCCATTCCCTCCATTAGATTGGAAAGAGTGAGTGTGCAGCATCAACCAATATTTTACAGTTAAAGCCTTCTTTAACCCTGATTGCCCTGATATCATTCGCTGAACTGCTGGAGACAACCCAAACACTCCCCCACCATTATTAGTTGAAGGATCTTCAGTCATGTACTCGTTTAGAACGATGGTAACCACAGATTTTGTTACGCCTCTGTGGAAATCACAAGACTTTCTCTTTAAACTTTATTCAGTGGATTTATTTTTATTTTTTTCAGCCACAGAGAGAAAGCTTCCTTTCAAAGCGAGAAGAAAGGATTCATCCACATTAGATAAAGTACTTATATAAGCGCTGGGGCAGCTCACTCACATGTCATAAAGTCACACAGCCAATATCACATCTGTAATTCTGTTTTACAGCCATGCATCTTGCTGCAGAAGTAGATAACAGAACAGAGCTGTCTGACTTGGACTAACCCGTCTGTGTATTGCTGGACGTCCATTCAAGTGTTAAAGTTGATGTAGTAAGGTTTGGATAAAGTAAATCAACTGCTGCTTGTTAGTTATCAACGCTGTGTTGCAGCTCTTAAATGAAGAGACACTAAATGAAAGCTGTGATTGTCCTCAGCAATGTTATGTTTGAGTTCTTTTTTGGTTGCTTTATTTCACTTCAGGAATTAATAAAGTATAATTGAATTGAACTGAATGCCTGTTAACAGCATATGTATGAGGATTCTGTTTATATGTTTCAGAAGCTTTAGGCACTACTTAAAACTGAAATCTAAGTCGATTTTTCTTAAAATAAGCAAATTATTTCTTGGCTTCTTCTACTTTGCGAAGGGAAAAAGACATTATACATTTAGAATAAGAAAAAAAACTTTAATTGCCTTATTTCAAGTGCATAATACAGTAACTAATTATCGTATTTTAAGCCAAAAAAATCCAAATTGCATTGGCTTATTTACCTACATAATTATTATTGTTTTTTTTTTCATTTTATTTTATTGTTTTGAGTTTTTACGGCACTAGTGGCTCATTTTTTGGACAGTAGGCTGACAGGAAAGGGGGTATGAGAGAGGGGAAGAGAAATGCGGCAAAGGACCACAGACAAGATTCAAACCTGGGTCGGCCACCCTACCCACGCAAATTAAGTGTAAATGCACTTATTTTAAGAAATGTTTACTTATTCCAGTGTAGTAATTAGTTAAATTTACTTAAGAAACCTTTTAAACTAAATATACGTTAAGAAGTAGTTTTACCGTCCTGTAGAAAGTATCACTAGTTTTATCGGAGTAAAATCTCCCCATGTGAGTGACCTCATTGGATAAACAAAAAACACAACATCAAATTCATGTTAGAGTGAGATTTCCTGTTAGTACAAGCTTTGTTGTTTAGGTGTGTCGTTCCCCTCCATGTGGATAAAGTTTAGAGTGTAGAGAAAGTTTACCAGCACACAGTCCTGACCTCAACAGAACAGAGGTTCACTGTCTGGCTCACAAACTGCGTTAACAGCCCTTTCTACCTTAGCCGCATTGCGTTGCTACCGTTCTTATACCTCATCCAAAATACGTAGTTTACCCTGAGCTATTTTCTGCATTTGTGCTGCTATAGGCTTAGACTGCTGGAGGACATAGAGATAACTTTTCATCATTCTATTCTCTCTATTCTTTTCTATCATTTCTATTCTCTCATTCTGCTGCTTTAGATCATTTTTGCAGTCGTTTCAACGTAAAAAAAAGTCAATAATGTGGCATTGTTTTTCAGTCTCAGCAGGAAGACCCTAAATGATCTATGATCTGCGCTTCATTGATTACTGCTGTCCCATGAAATTGTTTACTACAACTTAACAAAAAACCATTACATCATTTAAAATGACAAATAGAAAGCTGTTTATTCTTGTTGTTTCTTGTTAGAACACGTCGAATCTCAGAATAAATGGCACCAGACCTAGAATTTACA